AAGGGCAAGTAGGAGTCACAGATATAAGGCTCCAAGTGAGAGCGAGCACGACCACCTTCCAGGAACTGAAAAACATGGTATATAACTAGAGATGGGGACCAGCTTGGGAGATAGGACTGGGAAGCCTAGAGAAGTCAGATAGGAGAAGTCTATAAGTCATATCAAGAATTTTGTACTCTATCCCAAGTACAGGGAACTTATCCTCCTAGTCAGGGTCATCTATGACAACTTTGGCATCATGGAAGAACCCATGACCACAATCTAAGCCACACTGCCCCCCAGAAGACCAATGATGACCACCTCTGGAAAAGTGGCATGATGCAGATAGGGTTGCCAGAGCATCATCTCTGCATCCACTGGCTCTGCCAAGGCTGTGGGCAAAGTCATCCCTGAACTGAATGGGGAGCCTACTGGCACGGCCTTCTGTGTGCCCACCCCCAAAGTGTCAGTAGTGGATCTGACCTTCCACCTAAAGAAAGATATCAGATGTCATGACTTCAAGAAGCTAGAGAAGCAGGCATCAGAGGGCCCCCTCAAAGGCTTCCTGGGTTACACCAGGGATGAGGTTGTCTCCTCCAACTTTAACAGTGATACACCAACTCCTCTACCTTAGATGCTGGGGCCAGCATTGCCTTCAAGGACCACTTGATCAAACTCCTATCCTGGTGTGACAATGAATTTGGCTACAGCAACAGGATAGTGGACATTATAGTCCATGTGGCCTCCCTCACCCAACTCAGTCCCAAACATGCTGAGAATCTCCCCTTCTCCCAGTTTCCATTCCAGGCCTCCCTGAACAGAGAGGGAGGGGCTTAGGGAGTTCTCCTGTCATGTGCATGCCATCAGGTAAAGCCCACTGCACGCCAGAAAATATCGTTCCATGGGGTTATTTCCTATGGCTTCTAGAAGACTGACCTAAATTACTCTGCACTTGACTCTCCCACAGACTGCTGCTGCAGTTTCTTTACATCTTTACTAAACCTCGGGACATGAGCCCTTCTGCAGGGAGGAATGCTTTCAAGACTAGTGACCACAGAACAGTTTCGTGAGACATTAACCTACAAGCAAAAGCAGTGCCTGACTTCAACACATAGTTCAGAAACTGAATTATCAAATTAGCAGGAATGAAAGGTTGTGACATGGATACACATTGTCAAATGCCTTTTTCAAAAGCTAATATATGGCTGGTGATAAGATAAATTGTACAGATCTATCTGTTCCACCATGACCCAATCTCACCCCCTTCCAACGGTGGTAGTGAGTTTTTAAAATCTGATGTAATTTGGTGCTGTTTTATGCCCAGAGAGGCCCAGCACTGTCTTATTAATTGCTTGCTGCCACTTCAGTGAATACTTTCCAGGTCTTCTGCCAATCTCTTGGGATCTCATCTATTCTTACAAAGAAAAGTTGGTTATTTTTATGATCAGAGATATTAACAGAATTTTATCTGTTTTTACCACTCATTCTCCTTTTCTTTAAGTTCTTTGTGAACATACGGAAGTTTTACGTTTTTTGGTGAACATTTCCCTTTGTGGGGTTGTTGTATTTTTTCTTCTTCATTTTTAATCTTAGAAAGCCAGACACTTTTTTTGGTTGTTGTTTTTATTGTTTTTAGTGTCGTTGCTGCTAGCATTAACTCTTGATGCCTTTAAAATTTATATTAATTTCACTTCCTGCATTCTCCTCTAAAAATAACAAACCAAGTTTGGCAGCACTGTTTTCTGAATAATTTTCCCACCGTAATATATTTTGCCTGTGCAGTTAGTAATAATTTCTATTAAAAAAAAAAAACTTATCTCCATTTCCTAAATTAACAAATTGAGATGGATGGCACTTTTATCAGTGATCAGTTACTTTGACCTGTATTTCAGTATTACATTTTGAAATATTAGATGACACAGCATATGTAATGATCTTGCTGTGTAAACTATGAAATTTATAAACTTACACTTAATTTGATATTGAGATAAAAAATTTCCTTCCTTGACCCTCATTGGACAGATCACTAAAAAGAACAAGAGATGAGTGTTGAAAGAAATATGAAAATTAATGAAGAAAGGGAAATTGGTTAATAATCAATATTTTTAAAGTGGCCACATTATTGGTTACTCTTGGGTTTGATTCTTGCAGTCAACTAATAGCTGAGGAGACTGAGGCTAAGGTTGAGAAGTAACTTCCCCAGTCTGATTGCTGGGAGGGGACCATTTCTAAAGCTGCTTATCACTGGACCTGCTCTTGATGGGGTCCGTGGATATAATCTTAGGTTCTCCAAACGGCCTTCTTTTATGAAAAGTCATCTGTCATTATCCAAGAGTAAGAGACAGCACACCTCTCTGAGCTTTCTGGTGAAAAAGGAGAGGTAGGCAAGGACCATGTTCTAAAGGTTGTAAGTAGGTGGCAGGTTGAACTCTGTCTCCTAAAAGAATGAACTTGGGCACAAGGAAAGTGAATTTCCCTCTCGGGTTGGAAATGTAGGTGCCAACAATAATGGATCACTGCCTTGTGGGTGGGACGGTAAGACCCTCTTACCTCTCCATGCCCCAGGCTTGACCCAATGTACAGCAAGCTCATATTTCCCCATTCTTTCCCTACACGTTCACATGGAAATTTCAGAACAATTTCTCTGCTGCAATTGCGTTTTCAGTCAGCATTGGTTTATTTTTGAAGCCCTTGTGGTCCGATTTAGAGCCAGCGTCCTCTGCAGAGACAAGCAGTTGCTTGTTCCCCATGCAGGGCCCATGCCCTCCTGTTTACCAGCTTTGTGCCCCCACCCACCCCAGGCTGATCCCTTCTCAAGCCCCCTCGGGGCCACTTTTGTGGCAAATTTCACAGGGTCTCCAGGAGGGGTGCTGGGGGCCACTTGGCACAGCCCACCAATCTCCCACATTCAGGGGGGGGTTTGCAGACTGCTCTCGGAGGAAGCCTGAGTCCAGCTCCGAACAGGCTGCTCCTGTTACCCCCATTGTCTTCTTTTCCCAGCTGACCTGCCTGTGAGTGGGGAGATGAGGAAAGTTAGAAACAAAACTGGTTTCTACGGAGCGAGGGGGAGCTTTCTTGTACAGAAAGGAAGGAAATACCTCTGTGGGATTTTATTTTTTCCCCCCTCCTCGTCATCCAAAAAATACAAAGAGACTCTCTGTCTTAAATGCGAATGTCGGCTTTAAATCTTTTAGGTTTGGATTAACTCTGCAAAAGAAAAAAAAAATCTGACAGGCTTTCAGATATGACGCAGAAAAACTTTTCTCCCCTCAATTCATGTCGTTCATTTGTAAAGCCAAAGGCTGGTGGACTGAATAGTGGGCGCCAGTTGCCCCTCCATTCATAGTTAGCATCACAATAGTCAGAATTAGCAGCCCCAAGTCTGTCCACCACTTTCGCCTTTTCCGCCAGCAGACATTTAATTCAAGGTGGTGAAGGCAAGAATAAATCTTTCTTCTCTTGCCCCCCACATTAAAATATATTAAAAGTAAGCCAAGTAAATGTGGTATTTTTGGTTACATGACTTAGAATCTGATCTTACCTTTTCCCCCCAGAAGGAAAAGAAATGTGGGGGTTATTTATTTTTTACAGCCATTAACCTTACTAGAAAACTTCCTTCAATCTAAACAAAACCACTGACTTGATAGACATTTCCTATTACATAGTTATTGTTGGTTTTCACTATTGAGGATGTCAGCAAACATGTCCAGGATCATGTCTTGCTTATTAAATAAAGTGACTTTTATGTGAATATTTTTTTACCTTATTGTTGTTTAGCATATGGATACTATTCTGTGCAACCCCCATGGCAAATTTTTATTTTCTGAAATTTTTTGTAGTGGCGTGTTTTTATTTTAAATGTGCTCAGAGTTCTTCAGTCCTATATAGCAAAAAAACCTTAGCATGCTTGAACTAAGGGTCTCTATCAATAAACATGTATTAGTACAGAAAAAATTTAAGCAGTTTCTGGTCCTTAGTTGAGAGTCAAAATGAGTAAGTAATCTGAAATATCAATTTTAAATTAATTGTCTTTATATTTGCTAAGGATTGATTAATTTAGATTATTTATGTGTAATTGTGAAACTGCATAGAAGGATTAAGCTAGGTCATTTTTTAATTCCTCAGCCATATCTGGTAAAAAATGAAAAAGAAATTTCCTGTGTGATTTATAGCAGGATGTGAATGTGCATGTGTTAGTTGATTACTTTTTAATGGAATTATAACAATACACTTAGGAATTTAGATGGGTACTCCAAATTTATTCTTGATAAACAAATAGACTCAAAGAAATAAAACCAAAATATTTCCTTAGGTTTTATTGTGCAACACTATTTCTTTTAAGCTCTGTATAATATAATTACATTACAACCTGAAAGGCTTTGATATGGCAATGTGAGATTTAAATAAAATGGAATTATTAAAGATATTTTAATATACTTGTATTTGGATTTTACACACTAGATATTTGTTTGACTTGAGCATAATTGATATACACTAATACAAGTTATATAAATCATTGAACAAAAACTCAGATTATTCCTAATAGCCCAAAACTAATCAAAGTGTGATTTTCATAGTAATGATTTATCCAGATGTTTAATCTCTTTTAATTTGATACAAAAGTAGAGTTGATTTTCATTTGCAAGAATTAGTAAATTTAGTGTGAGATTCATTTATATTATTATAATTTAATCCAGAATGTAATTTAAATTTGCTCCAAAAAATTGATGTTGATATTCTAAGTTGTAAAAGATGAAGGTTTATCACTCCATATACTGACCACAATAATAAAACTTTCTTTTAAAACTATTAGCTGCTTGAGAGCAGGGGAAAAGATTGGTAAATGAATGTTTTAACACATGCAGCTTTAAATTCCAAATGTTTTCACAAGTTTGAACTCTCAGTTACAGTTACAGAATTATATCCTTAAAATTATTTGACTGAAGTCATAATAAGAACTGAACATGAACAATGTCTTTCTTGGTTTTTGAAGTATTGTTTCTGATGATTGATTGACGCAGGCAGCCATGCTGTTCAGTTCAGGAGTCTTTTGGACGGGCTTGCTATTTATTCCTGTGGCATCTTTGCTTCTGGACGTGATGTACAAGGTGTAAGTATTAACACCTGGTTCTACACACGGAAACACAGGTGCATATTGACCCTCACATTTCTCTGATGGAGACATCAACTCAAGCATGTAGTTTGCAAATTGTGAACTAGTGATATTAATTTTAAGTAAAGAAGAAAGCATGATTTAGGCACTAAAAAATTAGCTTAGAAGATCAAATGGGAAGTAAAGCAGTTACTTTAATATTCGGAAGAAGTGAATTGATCGAATTGGAGAAAATTACATTAGGAAGTATTATTTAGAAATCAGCCAAAAACTGCACATAGAGGGAGGGAAAACTTATTGTCTCCAAATACATTTTTTTTAATAATTATGAAAAGAAAGTTTTTGCTTATCTGATTCTCAACACATATATATAAGATAGAGAATGGAAAAAACAAAAATTTTTCTCAAGGGTTATAATTTTAAAACATCTCTTCCTATTAAAAAAAGATTATTGAAGTTAATATCACTCTAGGAGTTTTAATATTGTAAATCTAAACTATTTATTTAAGACTATTCCTATAACTAATGCTCAGTTTTACTATAATTTTTAAAATTTTAATGAAACATTTTGTACTCCAGTTACTGTTGTACTTATCAACAGCCTGGTAATAAACTAAACACTAGTTTTATGGTCGCATAAGCATTTCCATGCAAATCCTTTTACCTTTCCCCTCCTGCCCCAGTATCAAGAGGACCGCTTTTAAAACCTTAGTAGATGAAGTTCAGGAGCTTGAAGCCAAATCTCAAGACCCAGGAGCAGTTGTGCTTGGGAAAAGGTAAGATGCATATTATGTGTGTTCTTTTCCAAGTGAAAGTTAGTGGTTGGAAATAAATGGCAAAATGTTTACTTATCCCGTACAATGAAACTGGCAGAATTATTGACAGATTTTGGAAGCAGAGAGATGTGGACTGTATCTGTCACTTACTAAGCTATGTGCAACCTTAGCCAAGTTGCTTAATGTTACTGAGCCTCGATTTTTAACAAATAAAATGGGAATGATAATTGTACTGTGAGAACTGAATAAAATACTGTCAAGCATGTAGCATAGTGCACAGAACTTACAATGAGCATTCAGTAAATGGTAGTTATAAATATTATTGTTATTTAAATAAAAAGGATGAAAAAGGCTTTTAGCTTGAAACATCAATAATAAAATAGTATATAATCCACATCATAGAGTAACTTAGGGCAAAGTCCCTATAATGGCATTTGTGGCTCAGTGTGTCAGATATCAGCCTAGATACACATCATCTATGAAGTGAATTTTATCTCCAAGTTTCCTTCCTCACCACCACCACCACCCACCAAAAAAAGCCAAGTTAGCTAATTGAGTTCACTAAATTCTCAAAGCATTATTAAAAAGGAAATTAATTGAAAGCACTCTGTAAAATAATCAATTATGAAAATAGTCCCATTTTTTTTTTCCTTTCATCATACTAAAGGGAACAGAAGTTTTGTCTGAACCATAGGAACTGTTTTACCCTGGTGTATGTCACCTTAATCCTGATTCGGTATTTTCACAATGACACAATGGAGTAGGTGCCAGACTGGGGACTCAAGCTGAGCCTTGGCCTCCAGTTCTGTCTTCCTCTCCTTAGGCCAAAGGGCATATTGCACACCTGTGTGAGTCTCTCTTTAGAAAATAATAGCACTAACATTTGTTGAGCACTCACTACCTTCCAGGTGCTTCACTTGCAGTGAACATGCACTATCTCATTGAATCCCTATAACAACCCTGTGTAGATAGATCATCTCCATTTTTTCCCAGATGATGAAACTGAGGCCTAGAAAGACTAAGTTCCCATGTCTATCAGAGGTGGGCCATGAGTCCGTGCCAGTTCATTATAGAGCTCCCACTGTAAACCATTTGCTATTCTGCCTCTTTTGGCTGATTTTTCGAGTGTGGTACAGTAGCAAAAACAGCCCTCTGGTATCCCGACAAAGTACATAACCTCTTAAGCCAGTGGCCCTGTGTGTCAATGAGAATGGCAATACTTACTTTCAGAGTTGCAGGCTTTCTCCTCCCTCCACCTCCCGCTCCATCTGAAAATCTGCCTCTTGGGAAAGCATGCAGTCCCTGGTCTGGCATCCCAATCCTTTAATAAGGTTTTCTTTCTCACCCCCCACATCCACCCCCATCTCACACTAAAAAGGGTCTGGTAAGAGTTCTCAGAAAATAGTGAATAAAACTGTTTAGTAACAATTATTAGAGAAAGATTACAGATGACACTGTTCCTATCCTTTGAAGTAAATTTCTCACATATTTGTGTCTTAATAAGCTTACATTAAGCCCCTCCCCATGACACTAAGTTTGCCTGATTTGCAGTGAATCAGAGACTTTGACAATTAATAATCAGGCTGGAGGCTGATATGATGACTTCCAAGTCTGAAAGATTCAATGAGTCTGTGGTGTATGTAATCTCTTCCATTAAATAAAATAAACCAGTGAGTCTATAAAGGACAGAACTAGATTCGACCATAAATGATTACCAACTTCTCCACAGAAAATATTTCAGATAAATTTCCCTGCTGCTGCCCAGATTGCTTGCCTAAAATAGCCATTCATCTTTTCTGAAGAACTCAGGAATGAGTTAGCTGTTAGGTGAATACCACAAACACCTGGTACAGCCCAGAACTCCCTTTTGCCATCTCTGCCTGCTGGTGATCAGGTTGGTGATTAGCATGAGCATAGTGGCTTCATGCTAGAGGATAACTTAGGAGGGGTTTTTGAAAATGGTCTGGGAGGGAAGAAAGATAGCAGCTGGACAGAAAAGTTCTTGTGCTAAACCAGTTACATTCTAAGGCAGGTAAAGAATTGTCAGATAGGTTGTAGGACCAGGATTATTTGGGGAATGTTAAAGAATAAAATTGATGGGTCAGATTTCAAAACACCAAATTTTATCTACACTATGAAAAGTGGAGAAATTAGGATTTCTATATATTCTAGCAGTCTCAGATGTCTTTTGTTCCAAAACACCGTGATATTTTATGCCTCCCAGTCTGACCATGTACTCTTCCCTTGTCCGGGAGCCAATTCCCCTGTTACAAACTGGGCACTCCAGTTCCTACCTTTCAAAAGCCAGTTCAGACGCAGTTTTGTCAACTTTTCACATATAAAATTAAAGAATTCCTAGCCTAGTGTCTTTGTATTTTGTATAAACTTCCGTTGTTACATTTATTGCATTGCAATAAATTGTATGGTCTACCATAGGTACATTTGTTTACCCTACTAGATTGAGCGCCTTAAAGGAAAGGCCTGTCTTAGTCACTATTGCGACCCAACAGCTAACCCAGCTCCAGGAACTCAGTAGCACTCTGTAAATACTTGTTGAGCAGATGAATGAATCACCAAAGAAATAAACTAAGGAATGAATGAAAATGGGTGGTTGAATGAATGAGTGCAAGGTGGGTGATGAATCCATGCTTGACATGTAGGGAATGAAATAATCATACATGAAACATGGAATTATAGAACTTATTCTTCCAAAAGTAGGTCAAGTCCAAAGCAGCAGTTGTTTACTTTGTCATAAGGTGAGTCAGCTCTTTAGAAAAATCTTCTCTGAGTTGATCATCCCAACAGACTGCTCTCATGCTCAAATTATGTATGGAATGCAAATATGTCAAAGTTAAACATGTGAATATTAATATTTATAATAATTTCTCATCTTTTTATTTTCAAACATGAGAATGTCGGTGGTGCTGGGGTGTGGCTTAGTGATAGAATGCTCACCTAGCACAGGTGAGGCACTAGGTTCGATCCTCAGCACCACATAAAAAAATAAATAAAAATAAAGTCATGTGTCCACCTACAACTAAAAACATTTTTTTAAAAAAGAGAATGTCTTTGTATAATAACTAATCCTTTCTAGTAATAATAGTATGCCACTTACCATGTCATCTAGGAAATTGGATATGTTCCATTAAATTAAAGGAAAAAAGTATGTTTCATCAATCTAAGTATATTACCCATGAGCCATAGATGATGGTAGAAAGCAATTAAAGTCTGAAATGTTGGAGAATAGCCCAAACTTATTCTTGATTGGTGTAAGCCTTGGCTTCTTTTTTTTTTTTTTTTTTTTTGGAGGGTGGGGAATACCAGGGATTTAACTCAGGGGCACTCAACCTCACAACTGAGTTACATCCCCAGCCCTATTTTGTATTTTATTTAGAGACAGGGTCTCACTGAGATGCTTAGTGCCTCTCTTTTGCTGAGGCTGGCTTTGAACTCATGATCCTCCTGCCGCAGCCTCCCAGGCTACTGAGATTACAGGCATGTGCCACAGAGCCCAGCACTGGCTTCTTGTTTATGGAAGAGAAAATTGCTCCTAATGGTGAAACCCTGTGCTTTGCAGTAGCTGCCACATGATAGCTATTACATGAACGTGCTCCAACATTAGGGACCAGAAACTTCTACATTTCCAAAATTTTTTAAAACTCTTGAGATCAAACATTCCTTTTCTACATATTTTAAATAAACATTTGCTAGAAAACTCTGGGCCATTTGTCCTATTAGTAGTATAAAGACATTTGTAGTGTTTATTCTACAGTGTAAAGGTTTGTACTTCTATATCAGAAATATTAACTTTTTTGGAAAATGAGCCTTCCAGATCCCACTTCAGTATTACTTTCATAGGATGCATGTAACATCTTACCATTTCTGAAACAAACCAAAAAAAAATTGAATTCAAAAACTTAAGGTTTATAGTGAGAGATTATAGACACTGTGTGCTGTTGGAGATGGGGCAACTATTCTAGAGTATCATCAGAGTGTGTGTGAAGCCTTGCATCTTACAGACAGGCAGATGTGGTCATAAGACTCTGGATTTTCTTGATTTTTCTAGCTGTAGACATTACCAGCATAGCCTCACCAGCCTCCACTAACTAGAAGCTCATGCTAAGATCTTCAGGCCTGTCCTCACCAATTTGCCCGTCACATTGTCTGACCCCACAGCCTTTAGCATAAAAGAGCACAGGGGATGTGGAGCATCAGATCGCTTGGTCACATGGACAGTGAGGTGGCTCGCTTCCAGCCTCTCTTTGTATTGTTTATCTTAACCAAAGGCAATTTTATTGTCACCTCAGAACTAATAGAAATTGTATTACTCGATTTCACACTTAATTTTATGTCAGTAGGATGTAAATACCGGAGGGGATTGAAGGTAGAGGGATGTGTCAAATGTTTTTCCTCATCCTACTCTCATCAGAGGAAATGTTTCTTCCCAGCATTTATAAAGAAAAGGGACAGACGGATGAAATGTTATCTCTTCCAGGACAGAGACCAGGCCTGTTACAATCATTCATCTTCTCACCACCACTCCTGCTTAGCACAGGATAGCTGTCACATTCTGTTCTTTAAACATTCAATAAATAAATTTCTGGAGATTCATTTTAATGAGTCAACAAAAATAGCTTGCCTATCCAATATATAAACAAATGCCAAGTTTACCACCCTTCAAATATCACTTAAATTACCTTAAAGCAGTGTATTCCAGTACATTCCAGAAATGTCAATGGATTTTTACAAGCACTATTTCTTTTAGTGTGTCTAAGAAAAATATTACATTCAAATGTAGTATCTTTTCACTTTCCTCCACCAAATAACCAAGTTGCAACATTTTCCAGGGTTTGGAAATAGAGTAGCAATATTTAAATGGGAGTTGCTGTGTAATTTCATCAAACAAACTTAGAATTTGCATAGCTTGGTATGTAAATGAAAGGCCGGACAGATTGAGTAAAACTACTAGGTACAAGTTGTGAATTGATGAGGTTTTAGTGAGAAGTTATCTTCGTTTCTTTCTTTTTTTCTTTTTTTTTTATTTTCTCATACTGTTAAGCTGTTCAACAAAAACTGAATTTTAATAGATCTATTAATATTAATGTGATCAGTACCTTTTATTATGTGACTTGGTAGTTATTATATCAGTACCTATAAATATTAGTGACACAGAATTGCATACATTCTGAAATGACTAGTAGTTCCCTAATATTTGGATAGGGCTGGAGGAATTCAATTCCCTATCACTTCTTATTTATGAAGCACCCTCCTAAGAATGGCGTTTATATTCTGGAGGAGGGACTCTTCTCTCTCTACAAGAACTAAAGCAAGAAGTTCAAAGTAACTAGGGAAAGACAAAGCAAAACAACAAGAGCCCAGTCTTTTCCTTAGAAAAAGATGGAATGAGGCTATAGAAATTAAAACCCATGTATGGCAATAGACGTCTTGCATTGAGCTAACAAAGTACATTTTGTGATGATCTCTGTTCCAGTTGTTCTTTATAATAAATTCCTTAGGATCTGGGGGGATAAAGGGTGGGAGTGACTAGCATTTGTTGAGTGCTTCCTAAGTTTCAGTCACTATGCTGACAGGTTCCTAAACCCTCACAGTCTGCCTGAGTTTTACGTATTGTCCTCTCCCTGTTACGTATGAGATGACTGACTGAGAAAGGTTTACCTATAATAAGGAGCAGACTCAGAATCAAACCAAAATAAGACTCCAAAGCCTAAGCTTTTCTTGAGTAATGTACTACTTTCACAAGAAAGACTTTTTTAGTGCTAAAAAAAAAAAAAAAATGACATCATCTTATATGTTTCGGTTGCCATTAACATGAAAGGTAGAATTCTTCTTTCTTCATTAACACTTTAGTGTTATAGTATTAAAGGTCTAGTGCATTTAGGAAATCCAGCCTGAAGCCTGAAAAGTATATTTGGGGCAGAAGAAGATGGCATCATGATACATTGCCATCCCCCAGTCCTCTGTAGTCATCTCAAACACCAGAGATGGCTAGGCACCCCATCCTCAAAAGCTCTGCTCACAAAATAAGGCCACCTGCTGTTAAGCCAGCCCACTTCCTCAGAGCAGTTACATATTTTAGTATCCCTCAGAGTCCAGGGGCCTGTAATGTTAGAGCATTTAAAGGGTAGAGTAAGAAAAGGGACTTGGTTCAAATGGCCCTTTCTCATTCTTTATAGCTGTTTATGTCACTGACAGGAACAAGTTTTGCAACTGATTACAGAACCACTGGAGTCTTAGATTCGTTTTTCTGGTTTTAATGCAGCTAATTCCCAGTGACAATAAAATATGTCTAATAAGTATTAGTTAATATCCCCAGACTTTTAAAAAAATGTGTAGAAGATTACTACAGATGTCAACATTTCTAAATATTTTTCCTTCAATTTTTGCCTAAATGTATGTGTGATTCATTTACACAGTGAATTCACTTTGTAGAAGATTCTTTATATATTTATAGGGCATTATTCCATTTCAGCATCTCAAAAAAATTGGTAAAAACAGAACCAACATTATTTCATGTAAATTGCTGTAAGTGACTTAACTAAAGCTTTTTTAGTGGGAGAAAAGCAAGATAGAAATTTTTCAACTGAGTCAGATCCAGTTATTAAAACAAAATCATATAAACATTTGCTCTAACACATGTGAATAACTGGTAGTGCTTATTGCATCCTTTGATATCAAAGCAAAGTTTTGAGTAAGTCAACCAGTAGAGGAATGGGAAGATTAATGATGTTGTTCAGTACATTTCAGAATTACTCAAATTCATCTATTCCACAAATATTTGAGTTGCTATCATGTGAGGCACTGTTTTATGTGCATTGGGGTGGTGGGGCGGGGTAGATGCATGATCTTCACAGCGTGGCTTTAGAAGTGGCCTAATTTGATTTCAAGATTTATATCTGTAGAGATCATTCTAAACATTTATGGAAAAATAAATATTTTTCCTTGTTCTTTAACCTACTATAATTTTTTCCGAAAATACTTTTCTATTTTAAGATGAAATTAAGATACATTTTAAACCCTAGTAGAATGGTAATGGAATGCTTCTAATTAAAAAGTCTGTAAAATGTGTTCTTTGCATAATTTTAGGATTTCTACTAACACTATTATGTTGTACTGGTTCTGAATTTCCATTTGACTTCATAGAACACAGAGGATTGAGGAAATCTCACTTTTTACTGGATTTTTATTAGAGACAAAACTCTTCCTTAGCTATGTCTTCCCAAAGACATGAAATCTCATTTGCTGTTGGAGAAAATGGAGTAAAAGGAATGGTGGGGCTGGAGTGCTCTTTTGTTTGAGTCTACTTTCCCTGGTGCTCCCGGGGGACCCACTGGCTCCGCTGAGTTGATAATTCATTTCACACGTTTGCACCTGTTCCCGCAGCCTCACCGAAAGAGCACAACTGCTCAAGAACGTCTTTAAGAAGAACCATGTAAATTTGTACCGCTCGGAGTCATTGCAACAAAACCTGCTCCGTAAGTATTTACTTTAAATAAATTCTCTTTCTCTTCCATTACTGTCTCCTGGCATTTATCAGAGCAGTATTTTGACTTAACTATTTAAAATCAACACCTAAGTCAAGTTTTTCATATCTGCAACATGTTATCTAAATAATTAACAAGCACTCATGGATCACAACCATCTTACTATTCATAAATGGAGCATTTTTAAATCTCTCTGTTTTGCTTAAAAGAAAAACAAGGATATTTCCACATTCCTTGTTTCCTTAAATCTTCAAAAGAACCAGTAAGATAAATCTTAACTCCTAAAAGCTGCCTCTCTGTTGTTATCTTTTCTACTTGAATAACTTTGCTAGAGCTTTTCAGCTTTCATATAGCACAAGGAAACATATATTTTCCTCCTCAAAAATATTTATGAATAGAGTTGTAAGAAATAATTCTCTAAACATTTCAAGGATCTAAAAGAGAAACTAATATATAAAGCTCCATAGTGAAATTATTTGAGTTAGTAATATATCTTTGGTTTCATGTTGTTTCCACATATGATTTATGTTTATATATATATTTTTTTCAAATGTTTAATGCTTTTGCTCATTTTACTTCTGGTGGCCTTTTCTAAAGATGTAATCCCCTTACGGGTCACTTCTTATCTCCAAACTCCCTCCAACCATGTTGGGACATAAGTGAGTTCTTTTATAGACACTAAGAGCCCAGGAGAAGGTCACCCATAGGAAGCAACCACTTTCCCACCATCAGCAGCTATTTGTGTGTCTCTCCTCTGCCATTTTTTTTAATGAACAAATAATTGTATATACTTATGGAGAACGATGTGATGTTTTGACATGTTTACATGGTGGAAGTATTAAATCAAGCTAACTGTGCCTCCCTCCCTTCCTGCACATGGCTTTTCCATCCCTCTCACCCACCTGACCCATCTAGAAATGTGTGCACCTGCTCCCCTAGATTCCCTCACCCACTCCAGTAGTGGGGAGACAAAAAGAAGTGGGGAGGGTGGACTTGAGAAGCAGAGCAAAGGGCTGAGGGGGATTTGAGGGCACCTGCCCAGTTGAACACAGAGCAGAAGACATAAAAACTACGTGAGCAACCTAGTCATTCCACTCTCCATTTTGCAGCTGAGTCTGTGTCTTTTTCCAAACATTAAAAATTAGTGTCTTGTGCCTTTGAAGGTGGTGAGGATTCATTAGTACTTCAACTTAGACAATATGTACTCAAAACTCAGAATAACAGTGATTTCCAGCAACTTCATGATGATGATTTCTGTTTTATCCTTAACATACAGATGGGTATGCTTTCTCTCAAGATGAAAATGGAATCGTTTCACAGTCTGAAGTGATTAGAGCCTATGATACCACAAAACAGAGGCCTGATGAGTGGTGATGGGGAGGGGCTGAGAGGCCGGCCCTGCTACATCTCTAAAGAGAGCCACTGCAACCTAAGGTCGTCACTGCAATCTGCTGACCAATTCCAGTCTGGTCTATGGAGAGGAAAGGTGGATCTGAGCTCATCTCGTTGATGGGCCTTCAGATCCACGTACATTACAGACATAGTGCTGTGTAGCTGCACTGTAACACCATCTTTCTCGGATTTTTAAAGTGTCCGCTAAGGCTTTGTATACAGAAATTAAAAATGACCTCGTGTCTTGCCGGAGTGTTTTCTTAATCCAAGAGCAGGTTGGTCTTCTCACACCATTGCTCTGGGTCTGTAACTGTCAGTTCACTGGCTGTACCACAAGGCGACCAGCCATTTGGAAGCTCTAAAAATGGTGTTCAGCTAAAGGTACTCTTGATATCCAGACCTAGATTTCAGGATATGCTGAAGTAAACCAGCATTCTTAAGGAACTGACTCACCTTACTGAGCATTTCTAAACAAGGCATTAATAAGTGTTTGTGTCAAAAATTGTCTTGATAAATGTTTGCCAAAGAAGTTCAGTAAGTGTATTTCTCATTCAGTAGTCATTTGCCCAGAAATTTAAGAGAAAGTTTACTTCCAGTTCTGCTGTAAGATCTGCATGCTTGACTTTTCAAATGTGAGAGTGATTTGCAAAAATTAATATTTCAAGGCATTTGCTACTCCAATCTGTGATGTTGCACCTTCGGCCTTACAAGTGCTTCTTTGTTGTTTGTGTTGTTTCTTTGTTCAAGTTAAAGGGCACGTGTGCTAATGTGACTGTCGTTACAATGCTGATTTTTAAAATTTTATTTATGTCTCAGTCATTTCTGATAGTCTCATCATCCCTTAGACTTTTCTAAAAGTCTGGCTTCTGCTGTAGATTGAGTGATGTCATTTTGTCTTAAAGTTTTTCCTTGTAAGAAAATTATGCTTATTACACATTTATGTGGGGTTTCCAAAGCTTTATGTTAAGATACTTGGACTAATGTGTCAGATCAATGCATGGGCTTCTGTAATGTGCATAGGCTCAGCTCTTGTAATGTGTTTTGTTCTCACTATTTGTTCCCACTAGAGATGCCTGCTCACTTATGTAGCATACTATGTGTTACGGTGACTGTCTCTGTCCTTAAGACTTGATTATTTCACAGTTCACTCATCAAGCCGTTTCCAAAATTGGTCATGTACTGCTTATTAGGACAAATAAGTAGTACACTTTTCCCATTTTAAAAAATACCTATTTTACCCAAGCCCATAATGCTACAAAGAACATTTTCATCATGAATAGGGTTCATTTAATGTGTTTTAAAATGTATGTTGAGCTTAATTTTTTTCAGCATTTCCATGATGTCTCCTGAAAATGCCTATTTTGCTACCAACGATAAATGGTGAAGGGGCTGTTTAAAAAACACAACCAGTTTTCTACACTATTTTTAGAATAATGCTTTCATTTAAAAAGAAAAAAAAAGGAATTCTAGTTTTCAGATATATTTCAGAGATAGAAGCAAACTTTTTTGCCTTTTATTCAAAAGCCTGTTTGCCTTTAAGTGGACTTACCAGCAAAATAGGTAATACTTCAAAGAAAATCCACTAGAATTGAGAAGAGAGATGATTTCCCAAACTGTCCCCTGAGTTTAATCACTTCATATTTTTCCCCCTTTTTCTGGATCAAGATTTAAAATTATAATGTATACTGTTTCTTCCTCTGTATGTGCAGCCAAATACCAGTATGTACATTTCTACAAATAAGAGGTCATAACACATACACACAGTTCTCACCTAAAGGAAACACGGGGGTTTACACACTTCAATTTTCAGACCCTCCCATTTTGGGATTCAGATTAAGAGAATCATGAATCAAAACATCTAGCAAGACCCCGGGTGTAGAATCTTAAGACCATCTTTGAAATTCTGAAATCACAGACTTGAACTGTCTGTCAAATGGATGTTCAGAGAGGCTCTTCCTGGGTCTCCCCGGGTGGTAGTTGAGGCCAAACCACAAAAATCCACAAGAATGAAGAGCATCCCTCCAGAGAAATACTCCAGAGCACTTGCAGAGAAGAGCTGTTTCCCTGTGCCACACCTCATCAGTGGCATCCTTCTCCAAAATTTTAGGATCAAATCATTAGAATAGAACTGAATTTTCCAACTGAAACATGAAAATTGAAAATTTTAATTTTATCTTGAAACATGGGTTGTTTTGGTGGAGCTCTTCAACATGAAAAGAATACTCCTGGTTAATCAATATACACCTTCGTGATCTGAAATGTGACTAATTTATGCCTTTTCATCCCATGATTATTTTTGAATTATTGATGTTAAGTCAATCTCTTTGCTTATTGGGTGGGGTTAGGGATAGGAGGCAGGGAGTGACCATTTTGATAAAACTTGAAATATAGCATTGCAATTGCAGTAACTTTATAGTAGTACTTAAATTAGAGAAAATACTCCCCCCCAAGTCTTTAACCTTCCTGAATTGGTAAAAAGACACATGGTTTTACTAGGATGAAAATAACCAGTCAAAGTGACTTTTAACATGTATATTCTGAAATAAAGGACACGTACTCTTCAGTTTAAAAGTCCCTCGTAGGGACCCTGGCAAATGCTAACAATGTTTACAATTCAGAAAATACTATGTGTAGTAGAAAATCCTCACTCCTTTAGCATTGGAAAGTTGGGAGGTACTTCTTTAATGTTGGATAGTACAGAGTGGTATTATTATGGAATTTCTAAATGTTTTTATATATACATATAAAAATCTGTCGGTGTCTCACACCCAGAAAGATGCTATATTGTAGAATTTATTAGCAGGAAAACAGTGTTTCTCAGGAATGTAGTAAATTTTAAATTATGAGTGTGCTTCCTGTCCTCCCGCCTCCACTCCAGGCTCTCGAGAGACAGTGCCAGCACTGTTGCTAACTCACTGGAAAACTTTCTCCTAAGCGAGTCAGGTTCGTGTGTATTCTGCTAAGTAGGGTGAGCCATTTACACGAGTTGTATAATCAGTGAGTGGAATCAGTGATTCCTCTTAATTTCTGGGGAGGGGGTGAATTATAGAAATCAGTCAGTATTCTATCATTAAATTTTATATTTTAATCTTTCAATTCAGCCTTCTAACTATCCAGTAGGAAAGTCACATGATAGTTTGTCCTACATTGTATGCACTTACAACCTGTCATTTAAAACGTTCTTTTGGGAAATGAATGCTAGTCAAAAAGTAATAGATTGTATGTTTGTAATTTATAAATTATTTATAATAGTGTCATAAGTATTACCGGTATTACAAATCATCGAGGTTTATTTTCATGCAGTTGCCCTTGGTTTTAAAATTTATTTCATTAAATAAATCTTTAATCTTATAAAGAAACATCTACACAAAAATTGACCATGAAAATGCCCAGCCCACTCACATCACAATGACCAGGTCTATGGAAATCTTTTTGGAAATTACTGACAGTAACATCATGCAGTTCAGTGCCTAATAAATGCTTTTTAATAATGAACATTTCTATAATGCCTCTTAAAGATACCATACTCTGATTTTTCTCACATTAAAATAACTGAGGTCCCTTGTGAAACTTAGTACTACTTTGCTGCATTTTAATTAACCTTCAACAGCTATTAAAATGGAATGTAAGCTAAATTTTGAAGGAAAGGAAATAAATGTTTTCCATTTTTCATCTTGATTTATTTTCTGTATGAGAGCAGCTGTGTTTTTGATAGGTTTATGGTTTGCATGAATTAATATTTAAAGTGATCTAGGCCAGTGCATGGCTATTGCTATAAATCTAATGTTTATTTATGCCTTATCAAATCCTGTCATGGCCTATCTGAAATTTAATATTCAGTGGACACATTAATTGATCCTCCATACAACATTTTTAATAAATAAATAAATTTTACAAACAAATTTGAACAAATTTAATTGATTCTTTTGTTTAACTTGCCTCTGAGAACTTTTCTTAATAAAGCTCACAAAACTTCTCAGCAAATAAATCTCCCTTAAATAGGAAAAAAACTAGATTTCACATTTGCTTATTTTGAATTAACAACAACTTTCCATAGGTAAGTCTGCCCTTGCAAAGATGTGGGCAGAATATTAAAAATATCTATTTTTATGTTTCATGGTTCTAGAATAGAAGCCATAAATGTAGTAAATACTGTTAGTTGTTTAACTACTTCAAGCTTCATTTTTCACATTTTGAGGTTTATTAGGTAAAAATAAAAAGGCAGCCTTGGAAGGCAGCTATGGAAAACTGCAGTTTGCATTAAAGATAAAGTAGTATTTTCAGCTCCATAAGAAACCATTCCTGCTGAAACTGCTGTAGAAATTGTAAAGCTGCATGAGTGAGGAGTGTCGATTTTGTGATTATAGTAGTTTTCTCAGGTTTGTTTATCTTGATGTAAAATGCACTGTGTTTTATAAATAGTTATTAAAGTTGAGTAATATTCATTTCTATGCAGTGTTACATGTCTTTGGCCTTTTGTGAATGTGCATGTTTTAAACTGCAAATTTTAAACATTTTGTCCTCTAATTGTTATTCAAAATGAAATAAACTTTACCATTACATAAAGAAAGTTGTAGAAGTTTTGTTTGCTAGTTTTAGATTTATATCCCTTTATAAATTCTTCAAATCCCAGCAACTAGTCTGAGAAGGTATATCCATTTAATAGCATTTTAATATATTTTGTCTACACCCCCCGTGGTACACAGAATATCCCTTCATTTTAATCCAACTAAGTGAAACATGAGATGAAGTATATTAACTCCAATTTGGTAAGAGGAATTTTGCATCTTCAGTCAGAAAGCCTCCCAGGATTGTCCCCATTACATATTTAAATCAACTTGCAAGTGAACAGCTAATTCATGTCTCCATTCTTTCCTGTTAGGTGAATCTCTTAGGTTTTCTAAACTGATTTTTTTTTTCTAGTGCATGAGAAAGTGGCCAACTTTCACCAATAACATTTGAAGGAGGTAACCAGAAAGTGATAAAATTGAACATATAAACCAAAAGTGCAGGAAAATACCAGAAATAAGAACAATAGCTTTATGAAAAATAAGCATTCTTGAGCTGGGAATATAGCTCAGTTGGTAGAGTCCTTGCCTCGTATACACAAGGCTCTGTTTTCTAATCCCCAGAACAAAAAAAAAAAAAAAAAAAAAAGACTCCTTTTGTAAAAGCCAAATCAATGAGGCTTCAATTCAAATCAGTAATTTGCTGGAATAGGATTATTTCACAGAGGGGCACCCGAGTA